ATTTACGAAAAACTGAGAGAAATTGATCTGAATTCCGTCCAGGGCCTCATGAGAAACGTTCGAAGAAAGTTGGGTCTGGGGCAGAATGGGCCATTCCACATAATTCGATAGTATAGTTTAGTTAAGTATTAAGTTTTAAGTTATAACTAGTTGGTATTTAAATAAATTTATTCATTAAAAAAGAAGATAAATATTTTGTGGCAAAACTTTCAGGACATACGTCATGGACCACTCTGACAGACAATAACGAATAGAAGATAGACGTCTATAACATTGGATATTGTGATATATACCCTTATTTTCAGAACTTTTCAACACACGATACAACCGATGACTCGGAACCTGTTTTATCATACAACGCTGTCGTCGAATGATACACAAATTTTAAGTTTGATACTTTGCCATGCTAAAGCTACCATAAGCAAAGCTCTTTTTGTTTTTTAATTAATATTAGGTCTTCACATGAGTCCATCACAGTGAATCGGTCTGTGATGTCGACTTATTTATAACCCAGATAAGGTATAATAGCTATTCACCATGCTCATATGAAAAGGAGCAATTTGCTTCCCACTCAATGTCTCAAAAACCTTTGTTTGGAACTACTAATGCTTTGTCGTTGTTGTGCTTGCTCAAATGAATAATTCTATACATATTATTATTCTCTTCAATCACATACCTGGCTGAAAACTGATCATGCTACGTATTATAAGCGCTGTTACGATTTAAAAAGGGAAGTTTTACAGCTTAGAAGGGTTTACCCCATTACATAAATTGTCTCTCACAAGGCCGTGGATTATGTTGTTGGATTTAAGGCTTTTTCATCGGGTGGGGGTGAATTAAAAACACGCTAGTCACTGAGTGATATGTCCTTTGGATTTGGAATGAATATCAAATTGGAAGACCGGGTGAGACAGCACTTATTCAATAAGGAGGTTCGCCATTTTTTGATTTTTACTCAAATCGAAAAACGATGAAAAAGTGAGCCCACAATATTGATATTTACGCTGACTAAAAGCATTTCAAATTCAAGGATCGGCGCGAGGTTGGAAAACGTACCTGTGCGCGAGACTAGACCGCGTGACGTCAGTAGCCAGACACACCTCGCCAGCTGGCCCGCTGCATTTACCATTCTCGCAACAACGCAACAGTAATCGGTTTGCAGCTGATACGATAGATTATTGTTAAATTCTGTGATTTTTGACGGTGTTAAATGTCGAACAGAAAGTGGTGTTTTGTGTCAAAATGTAAAAGTACGTCAAGTACAACACCACAAAAAAATTTTGTGAGTGTTCCAAAAGCTGCCGCACAACGTAAAAAGTGGTTTGACGCAGCTCGACGGGATGTAAAATCAGTTTTTTCCACGTCGACCATGTACTGCTGTGAAGATCATTTTGACCTGGAAATAGATACTGAAAACTATCCACAATACAAGATGAGTACCGTTCGAGCCCCGATGAATCCTAATATTGCACCTCATAAATTTGCATGTCAACTGGGCAGACAATAAGCTCTACGAAACGAGTGTTCAGCGCCACCCTCAATCGAAAAGTCCGATCCTGAAGGCGTGGAAGCTATTAAGGAGGAGCATGATGAACAGCTTGAACTTTTAACAGTAGAAGTTCAGTCACAGGTATGTGACAAGGCATGCCAAACCAAACAGGTACATTTCAGAAGCAAGTCAGTTCAAATCTCGCAAAAACGGAAAGTAATGGATGTTGCTGTGTCGCCAATAAGAATTCCTGCGCTTGCTAAACAGATTTCAGAGCGGCCAAAAAAACGTTTGCAAGTGGAAAGTGAACGGGCAAATCTTGAAAGTCCAGCAATAGCAGAAACATCCGAATCTGATTCGTATGAAGCCAGTGGAAGCAGTACTGAAAGCAGTGACAGCGAAGCTCACCAGCTTACTGCGATTGTAGTCATTCTAAGCGCAATATTAGTCAACGTTTAGAACCTGGCACAGCCCTAAACTTTGTTATTATAGTAGCTACAAAATTCTATAATGTGACTACCCCCCCTCCCCCTAATTTAAGTATTCCCCAATCCTACATCCATGGAATTTCTCTCATTGAAAACATATTAGGTACCACACTTCACTTCAGAATAGTGTAATAAAGATTCATTATGCATGCAAAAAGAACCAATTTCGGGGCTCTTAATAGGCGTAACAAGGTAAAAAGGTTTGTATGGTAATTTAAATTCCATAATATTTTACCTAGGAAGAAAAAAGCAGAGATAAATAGCCTTCAAAATTATTGTAACGCTTTCAATAGACTAAAGCAAAGCAGGATCAATTTTTGCGGAGAAATACAAAAAATACTACCCATTCGAACTAAACAAAAAAATTAGCTTCACATAGGTGCTTACCGATCTAATTTAACACCGCTGCTCTGAGGTTCATTTAAATTTGCATTATTTGCCAAAAACTCGTACACCATTTCCACATTCACATGGGGTAAATTTCGTGAATCAGCTTTCTGATAACCTTGGAGAAATGAGCTTGCACAAACAAATAAAGCACACAAACGTCGGTCCCAGTTTATATAAATTCGTATTCGTATACTCTTCACTCCGAATACAAGACAATACAAGATACAAGTACTCTATGAGGGCGACAGCACGTGTCTGGCTACTGACGTCACGCGGTCTAGTCTCGCGTACAGGTATGTTTTCTAGCCTCGCGTCGATCCTTGATTTTAAAATGCTTTCCGTCGACGTAAATATTAATATATTAATAAATTTCTTTGACCGTTCTTTTAATAACAAAGTCCCTCGATTTTAATTAAAATAAGAGAAATACAAAAAGTGTCGTAACTTCCTGTTATGGTAAAGATATATTGGTGTTTTTTTTTTCAGTGTCGTGAAGACAATTAGTAGCGCTCACCTCAAAGTATACGAAAAATATTTCTGACAGGATTGCAGCACTCCAGACTCCTTGATTTCCATAGACTGTCAAGCTCTTCAGAAAGGCAGGGGTTTTCTAGGCTTCTGCTGTTCCGTGTCAGCGTTTTATTTTGAGGTTATGTTTTCTCTTTTTATAAGCCTGAAATTTCTTACTATTAAAAAAGAAAACACAGACCCACAATAGGAGAGCCTATTAGAAATCTAGAAATACCGAAGCCTTTCTGAATGAGCGAAAGACTATGAAAATCAAGGAGATCATAAAGGAATCCTAAAATTATAGGAACGACTGACAATACGGCCCTAAAACTCATAGTCTAATCTTATCAGCAAATTTCCCCGAAATAATTGTAAAGTCTGGTTTGATCGGTATAAGTTGTTCAAGGGGGTATTTAAAACATGGACGCATAAAATGGGTACAGCAATTTTTGTGGGTAAACTTTTCATTTGACAACAAAGAATGCGAAAACATGTTTTTTGGAATTCAATCAAAGTATTGACAGGAACGACAAAACTTTTCACATAAGATTCTTACGTAGTTATGCGATCTGCAACATGAGGCCACACGTAAAAAGATCCGACTAATGGCAAAAATGTAAAAAAAAATTACGCAACTACTTGAAATTCTTCATATCCGTAGGATTCGTACTTTTAAGTAACAACAACAAACTTGGATTATGTTGTTCAAGTAGTTTTTTTGAGAATTTCTAGTTGTTTATTCCAAAACACCTGTTCTCCGGCTATCACTACTAGTTTATTAAGCAATATACGGGATTCATTCAAAGAGCATTTAATAGCAAAATACACGTGTTTACCTTGCCGATATGAATCACAAACCATTCCTAAAGATAAATGTTATTTTTTGCGAAAAACAATGGTTACGTTTTTTCTTCTAAACAAATTCAAATATTTCGTATTTTCAAACGAAGCGGATGTGTCTATCATTTTGTGTTGCGAGTTAGTCACAAATACGAAATGTTTGAATTCGTTTAAAAGAAAAAAACGTAACCCATATTTTTCTGCATAAAAATAAAATTTATCTTCCCCAATGATTTGCGATTCGTACCAGCAAGGGAAACTAGTGTATTTTACTATAAAATGCCCTTTGAACTTACCCTGTATATTGCTCAATAAACTAGTAGTGATGGCCGGAAGACAGGTGTTTTCGGATATACAACTAGAAATTCTCAAAAACTACTTGACCAATCTACTCCGATTTTATTGTGATTATTTAGAAGAACGAATCCTACGAATTTTAACAACTTCAAATATCTGCGAGAAACCATCTTATGAAAAGAGTTTTTTCGTTCCTGCCAACACTTTCGATTGAATCACAAGAAACACGTTTTCTCATTCTTTGTTCCCACAAAAATTTGTGTACCCATTTTATGGTGTCCATGTTTTGAACACCTCCTTGAACAACTTGCAGCAATAAAACCAGGCTTTACAATTGTTTCGCAAACCAGGGGTATTTTTGTCTAATACGATTTGTCTATCACTCCGAATGTACAAAAGGTGTGAAACCCTTCTTCCCTTATTATCTTCTGGTTCATAGACATTCAACAATAACATAATATGAGAGTTGGGTTTACTACTATGACCCTATATTGCGAGATAAAACTGCCTGGTGGACTGATCCAGGTAGTTCTGCTCCAATGCAAGCAAAATTGTTGAAATTATCCGAAAAGATTATAGCATCTATTTTTGGGATTCAATGGATATATTTGTAATAGGTTACCCGCAGACAATCAAAACTATGATAGAAGAGCAGTACTGCAACCTTCTAGAGCAGAAGAGATCAGGTTTACTTGAGACAAAAATCATCTTCCGTGGGACAATGCACGTGCAGTCAGAGAAGAAGTCATATAGCCGTAGACGGGTATTACAAAGAGCTTCCAGAGAACCACTTCAGGTAAAGTATAAATCAAATGCAAAGCGTTTGAAAAAGGAAGGAAGGGAACTTATAATAAAACTTGTTCCCAGAAATTTCATGTAAATTCCAGGAACTTGAAATCACCTTGTACAAGCGTCAGATGCAGTGAGCTCACAAAAGACGAAGAAAAAGCAATGGCATTATGATGTAAATACGTACAAACTTCAAAGTCAGGTTTCTTTATTTTTATTTACATTATTACTATACTCATTTCGTCATCGAGAAACAAGCCAATTTCCGTGATGAGATTTGGAGAGAATTCATACACCTCATGCAAGAACTTTTCTTTGTAGACTCAGTAAATGTAATCCCTTAATGGGCTAAACATTTTTTTCAAATATATCGACTGAACACTGAAACAATACAACTTATTAGTAGAAAGATAGATCCTAAGTTCTTTGATCCCGCCGAAACACATTCTTGACACCAATCTTCATCACTTAATTGCACCGGTGCAATATTAGCTCTAAAAGTCTCAAGAGGCAATATGCTGACGCAACCATCCTTCTGAATCAGCTCTGCTGGAGAATCGCTGTTCTTCTTATACAATATTTTCATATAATGTTTCCCATCTTTCGATCTGTATACTTCCCAAAAAGCTGCAGAACTGAATTCCGGCGGTTCATAATCGAAGCATCCAAGGGTGTTCAGAGCTGGCGCTATGGTTGTATCATGTCCTGATATTACCAGGAACTTTGGTTTTTTACCTTCGACAGCATCATTCAGGTGATTCATCATGTAGTTAAATAAAGGACCTGCCATCAGTCTCTGAAGATCTCTTCTATACGTTGGCATAGCAAAACTGGCGCCTCCAAGGTATGTCATAATTTCCTCATCTAAACTTTTATACCAATCAGGTACGTATGATGGAAAGCTTGTTCTGTAAACATACATTGTGGTATACAGATCCTTCATATGCCCTATATCCACCACATCCCAACCAGTGTTTTCATATATCGTTCTGAATACATCCGGGTACTTTTCCTTCAGTTTGTCAAATTCACGATTTGCTTCTTCCAACAGCTTGTCGAACTTTGGGCACTTGGCTGTCATTCGGATGAAATTATCGTACTTGTCTTGCACGGAATGTACAGGAATTGGCTGCCATAGAAGATTGCCTAAAAAGCGGTCTTCTGGTACAGGTGGATAGAGCGCAGCCAACATAGCTTCAGCTGACATTAGGGATCTGTCTCTGTCTGAAGATATGACATATATTTCTTGTGGTTTGTACTTTTGGGAAATGAAGGTGTTGTAACGTTGTCTAATATACGTGCCGAGTTGGTACGACCTCAGTTTGCCAGACTGCAACAAAACAACAATACGTTACAATATATATATTATACTGATTGACAAGAAAAGGTAAACACCTACGTATGTTTATCCGATTTTAATAATTTTTGGCAGTTCAGTGTCCCTTACTAGCGAAATGATTTAATTTTCAGCTTGATTCGTCAACTGACTGCAGAAGCTGGTTCAATAATGTGTTGATGATCCAGGATTTTTTATACACTCATTTACACGCCTGAGCATCGTGCTGATAAGGTGGTTGATATTCGGTTGGGGTATCTCATTCTAGGCTACTGCTACCTCATGCGTAAGAGCTGCTAAAGCCTGTGGAGGGCGTTGCAAATTCCCAGACATGTTCAATTGGACAAAGGTCAGGCGGTCGTGGTGAGCATGGTAAACGGTTTATGCGATGTTGATCCATGAAGACTAACGATGCGGTCTGGCATTGTCATAGCATCGATGTCATATTGCACCTGATGAAAATTAGTGGTGATCTGCTACCATAAGCAATAGCACCCCATACCATAACATCACAACTTCCATGTCTGTCAAATTGTGGGTCACGTCTTTCACCATGACGCCTTCTCACTCTTGCCCGATCATCGTGCATCCCGAGACAAAAGCGGAATTCGTCACTAAAGACCACCTGATTCTATTCCCGGTCCCATACAATTCTTTCTCTGCACCAGAGCAAACGGTTATGCCGATGTTCAGCTGTTAGAGGTAGCACCCAATGTAGGCGATAAGAAGAAAGGCCAAACTGTCTCTCAGAACCAGAAGTCATAACCGGCAGTTTTATCGCTCTGTGGTCCCACCAGAACCAATCGCTGAATGCTTTTTTATCACCAAACAGTACACGAAGCCACCACAAAAACTTAAAAGAAAAACCTGACCATTTTATCACTTGTTGTTCATGGCAAGATAAATCGATTTGTGAAAAATTCTTGAATTCTAGTAAACATACATCCGCGTTTACCTTTGTTGTCACTCGGTATATGTTTGACATATAGATAGATCTATATTTGACTACATCATATTTGCAGCAAATCGAAATGAAAATGTACATGCATACAGAATAAAATAACGTCTCTTTAAAATAGATTTACTGTAGATAGTTGATTAAAAGTTTGAAATACAAAAAGATACAAGATAAATAATGGACATGGAAAAATAGATTATAAACATACCAGAAGGTACGAACAGCAAAAAGCTTTCAACAGAACGAGCGCTATCAAAATCATAATCAAGTGAATATACCTCAGATGACATGATATTGATGAATTTAAAGCAACTCGTTTTCGATAAATCCTTGATATTAACTTCGAATTGGCCAAATCTTAATGTTTACCAATCATCAAGTACGATATTACGTTAATTGAAAGATTTTTTCTGTGATACACACAGGCGGTACCTAGGATTCTTGTATTGTACTCATGGTAGTCGGAATGCGTTAAATATTCTTGTTCTTTATGGATGTTTAACATGGTGTAAAAATAAACATAAAAGGGATTGGCACCGTTGGAAAAGTAGAAATTTTTCGGGGAAGATCATTGACCCCATAGAAGAATTCCAAAACTCAGCTGCGACTAAATTAGTTGTGCTTCAATATTGGCAGTTTACACATAGTATTTCAAGGTTTTTGGCATTTTAAAAGACAGGGTTATTCTTATGATTATTACTAGAACTGTTTTACCCTTATCTAATTTCCGAAAAGGCTTTCATGATTAAGATGATTCATATATGATTTTTGTTAATAAAACGGGGTACTTGCAAAGACTTTTTTTGGCACTAAGACATTACGTCACATTAGCGGATCCAACTCTACAGGGTGTTTCAGTTTATTGTTGCATAACTTTAAGATTCGATAGAACTTTTAAAATTAATGCATAAAGTCTATATAAACATGGGTAGAAAAATGCGTGGCTTCCGAAATACAGGGTGTTTAAATTCACTTTCTAAAATAGTTTTTTTTAAATATTTCGAACAATATTTGATGTATAACAGTGAAAATTGGTATACAAGGGTTTTTTGGTACGACAAAACGCACCATGGGCATAGTTTTACTGTAGCCGCTAGAGGACGCTCTCTACTGTACCTGTAGTGTATTAAAATGACCGAAAAATTTTTCTTAGTACAATTTTTTGCTTTTTGAATAAAAGAACTGATTCTTCGCACTTTTCTGCATAAAAAAGCTTTCCTGTGAGTTTTCGTTATAGTTAGCAGTTCTTGAGATATTTCGATTTTTAAGGTTCGATGCATTTTTAATTATTTATGATAAAATAACGTTAAAAAGTCAGTATCTCTATAATTTTTAGAAGTAGGCTGTGCCTGCAAATATCTTTGAAATTGAAATCAGAAGAAGGTTAAACGTCAATTAGTTGACAGTTAGTTTTGTTGTCTGTTGAAACCTGAAACGTTTTTAAGCAATTGTGAATGCACGAAATTTAGTTTCTCTTACCTGTTTTTTTTTGTAAGTTTTATAAAAATGCCATTTTTATTCTCCAATCAAGAGTTAGCGGATATTCATTTTGTGTATAGCTTTGTAAATGGAAACGCAGCAGAAGCAGCCAGAGAATACGCACGAAGATTTCCAAACAGACGACATCCAACTCGCTCAGTATTTGTAAGAGTGCATCGCCAAATAATTGAAAATGGTTTTGGAAATCTCCAAAGGGATCAAAACATAAATGTTCGCAGCGCAGATTTACCCGTATGATTCTGCGTGAGTTTGATAGAGATCCGACCACAAGTGTTAGGAGAGTTTCTGGTGCCTTGGGCATTTCAGCAAGCCATGTTCACCGTGTTCTTAGAAATGACCATAGACGTTCTTAACATTTGCAACCTGCTCAAGGACTACAGCCAGGGGACGGAGAACCAAGAATCACATTTTGTCATTGGATTCTTGATAGAACTGATAATAATAGGGAGTTTTTAAGTAACGTTTTATGGACCGATGAGTCATGCTTCACTAGACGTGGAGTGGTAAATTTTCATAATCAACATATTTGGTCGCATGAAATTCCGCATGCAGTTCGGGAAAGAAATTTTCAGCATGAATTCAGTGTGAACGTGTGGATTGGTATTGGTATACCGTAATCGACTATTTGGACCCTATCTTTTGCCTACAAGGTTAAATGCTGCGACCTTCTTGGAATTTTTAAAGGCTAAACATGCAAATATGTGGGATGATGTTATGTTAGATCTAAGAAGATTGGTCTGATTCCAGCTTGATGGTTGTCCAGCTCATTATTCGAGAATAGTTAGAAACTGGCTGGACGAAAATTATCCAGAAAGATGGACCGGCCATGGAGGACCAGTCGCCTGGCCTCCATGATCCCCTGACCTAAATCCATTAGATTTCTTTGTGTCAGGATTTCTAAAAAAAAAGTGTACCAGACTCCCGTAACCACAAGAGATATGCCAATAGACAGAATCAGGAATGCATGTGATGAAATAAGGCCTTATTTAAATAATGCTATACCACGTTCGATCATTCATAGATGTGAATTGTGTATTGAACAATTGGGTTTACATTTCGAGCAACTACTTTAGATTTTGTATGTTTGTCCTAACTATCCAATAGCATTTTAGTTGTAAATAATTAATTTAATTTGGTAAAAATAATATTGGAAAATTAAACAAATTAATATTCTATTTTTTTGTGTTTATTTGGAGTTGGGAATTATTGCTTTGTTTAAAAACACAATATAAACGATCATCTTAATTACTTGTAATGCCCAAATTGAAAATGTAAAAAAAATATTATTTTCCCATAAATAATTAAAAATGCATCGAACCTTAAAAATCGAAATATCTCAAAAACGGCTAACTATAACGAAAGTTCACAAGAGAGCTTTTTTATGTTGAAAAGTGCGAAGAATCAGTTTTCTTATTCAAAAAGCAAAAAATTGGACTAAGACAAAATTTTCTGTCATTTTAATGCACTACAGGTACAGTAGAGAGCGCCCTCTAGCGGCTACAGTAAAACTATGCCCATGGTTCGTTTTGTCGTTTTGTATACCAATTTTCACTGTTATACATCAAATATTGTTCGAAATATTTAAAAAAACCTATTTTAGAAAGTAAATCTAAACACCCTGTATTTCGGAAGCCACGCATTTTTCGACCCATGTTTATATAGACTTTATGCATTAATTTTACAAGTTCTATCGAATCTTAAAGTTATGCAACAATAAACTGAAACACCCTGTATACTTCTAATTCTAGACAATCTCATGACACCACCACATCCACCCAGGTCCCCACTTGCAAAGATTCAGTTTATCAAATATTGTCAAACGCTAGTGGTTAGGGATTTCTTGGATAGGATCAGCGACAAAAGTACTTTTGGACACTGAGGATACTTCACTTTATTTCCACGATCCCAACTCTAATCACATAAATAAGGATAATAATCACTTGGTATAGCGACATATTTCCTTTTTTTCTCAGTAATTTTTGCTACTTACATTTATCAACTGCCCGAGTCCTTCTGGAAAATACGTGATGTTGAAATACTTGTCCTTCGGAAAAGACACCCTGGGTGTTCTGTCTCCATGTCTGAATATCTGAAAGAACGTCAGTTGTGAATGCCCCCACTACACAGTACTCAGTCAATGCACAAATTTTGTTGAAAGTGAAGTTTATTGAAGATAATATTAATAGCCTCAGCTGTTAATTTTTTGTCAACATGTTGTAAAAAGGTAGATCATACGTTTCCTTCTTTATGATAATTTAATTTAATATGTTTGATAAGTCAGTGACCTTTTAAATGAAAAAAGTGTTTTTCGGCAAATAAGAATTTTATTTCTCAACGTTTAGCGCTTTTCCAATTTCTTAATTCCTTCCGAATAGTAGTTATTATCAAGGCTTCCAAAATATGCGTTTGTTTCAATGATGACCTCTTCATTCGACCCAAATTTCTTACCACCCAGCCATTTTTTCAGGTTTGGTAATAGGAAGTAGTCGCTGGGGACTAAATCTGGAGAAAAGGCTGGATGGGGCAGCAGTTCGTAGCCCAGTTCATGAATGTTTGCCATCGAGACTACACACGTGTATTCCCGTGCGTTGTCTTGATGGAACAGCATTTTTTTTACGCCAAATGCGGTCGTTTTTGCTGCAAAGCAACGTCGAATCTGTCTAACAGCTCTGATTAGTACTCTCCCGTGATCGATCTGTCCTTCACAAGGTAATCGATGTAAATGATACCGCATGCGTCACAGAAAACTGTCGCCATAACTTTGCTGGTTGACAGACCCACCTTGGCCTTCTTTGGAGCACGCTCACCATGTGAAACCCACTGTCTTGATTGTTCTTTGGTTTCTGGTGTATAGGCAGCAGCGGTGGCCGCAGTAGAAGACTCTTCAGTCTCCTGATCAGTCGCCGCGCGCTGTGCGGGTTCGAGTCCCGTACCAGGAGAAATTATTCTCTTGGCTATGGATGTTGTGATAGTCCGTAGGTGGTAGACGGTCTCTGACTGTCGAACGTGGAGGTACCACCCGGCGGATCTCGTAGGCGGAGCCAGAATGTGTACATGTTGCATGCACACGTGTTCCCTCGCCAGAGTCCGTGTGGCGTTCCCCTTTCCCCTGTATCCCCCTATAGCCCAACGGTACCCAATGGGTGTTTAGGCCTTAGGCCTTCGTGGTAGTTGGAGTATAAAAAAAAATGTGATGAATCCAAGTATTCATGTAAAATGTGATCTACCCGCTCAGTATAGATGCCTACAGCCTCAGCAACTTCACGTATTTTTATTCTCCGATCTTCCAATATCAACCCATGGATCTTATCCACGATTTCTGGTGTGATGACTTCTTTCGGGCGACCTGAACGTTCAGCATCACTTGTGCTGGTTCGACCACAACGGAACTCAGTAAACCACTTCTTCACCATTGAAATAGATGGTGCAGAGTCCCCATAGTATTTGTGAAGCCTTTCCTTGGTTGCAGTGATGGTTTTTTACACAAAAAATAATGTTTAATCAGAACACGAAAATCCTTTTTTGTTAGAATTTATGAGACCGTCTACTTTTAACGGCTGTCAAAATCAAATGAAATGACATAGCTTGTTCAAATTTTGACAGTTGTCATATAAAAGATGGCAGTTGACTGTAGCAGTGTTGCATTCAAAGTTATTGCGCGGGAAATTCAAAAAGTCAATGACTTATCAAACGACCCTCGTATTTCATTAAACTTCATGCAAATAGATAATGTGATATATAAAAAGCACACGTAATCAAAACAATAAAACAATATAAGTTTACTGGTCTTACAGGCAACGTGATTTCATAATTAATATACACTACAACAAAACTAACGAATCGTTGAACCATCCGTTAAATCTTTTTATAGCGTTAGCAAATAACGATGATCGAAAAAAGTGTTTTCACGACCACTAAAGTGAAATATGATGTTTTGACAGTACGTACTGCCTACTGACAATCATGACAGGTGGCGTGTTCTTTTTAATTCTACCTTCAAAATTTAAGGACTTGGTAAAGTTTTTTCATTTAAAACTTTTACGACATATTTCTGCTATGATTACTCCAAACTGATAAAAAAAAATAAGTTTAGAATCACAGAACCTCAGAACAACAAGTGTCCACAAAATCAGCAGAACCAGAACCAAAAGCTACCTTGCACCATTGCCTACTTGTTTTTTTCTTTTTTGTTTATCGAAGCAGCCACGCAGGCAGAAGCCTAAATGCCGGAACACCACGGCTGCTATGATGACGAAATCTTGTTAATATGATTTTTGAACTGCCTAATGTTAATAGAACTGGGAAAATCTACCTTTTGTAGATTGTTCCACAATCTCCACACCCTCGAGACAAAGGAGCGGTCGTATCGGAAAGTTCTGGATGTACGAAGTTCGACACGGTTAGGATGGGACGCCAAAGTCAGACGGGTCTGTCTGGCAGGCACATCGCGCGGCGGCATCATGGAACAGAGCTCTGAGGAGCAAAGCCCGTTGGTGTAAGGGTAGAAAAGAGTTAAAGTACCTCTTAGCCCTAAACGAATAGTCTAGCTTTTTCCCAATAGCTGGAGCTATTGACGAGATGTGTTCGTGCCCATCCATCGAAACCGGGTGAGCGCAGGGACGCTTTTTGTTCGTCACAGTGTTTTGGAAGCATTGAACTGTACAAGATTGTTGCGTCCCCAAGCAGTGATAGCCTCCAGGTCTCTTGTCAGAGAGGAAGTCATCGTTAGTTTTCTTTTTTCCAACTCAATGGCAGAGATCGGCTTGTCACTTTGAATTCCTGCATGTAGAGTGCTGTCATCAGCGAAGCTGTGGATTGGGTTGATCGTGCAGGAAAGAAGGTCATTGATATGTAAGAGAAACAGTGTCGGAGCCAAGACCGATCCCTGGGGAATACCCGCGTTGACGTTGTGGGATGAAGAGGAGAACCAGTCAATCACGACGGATATCTTGCGGACAGAGATAAAGTGAGCCACTCATCTGCAAAGTTTTTCTGGTAGGCCATAGGATGGAAGTTTGCTTACGAGGGCAGCGTGCCACAGCTGATCGAACGCTTTCGTGATGTCAAGAGCAACGACATGAGTCTCACCATAAGACTGGATGAGTTTACTCCACAACTGAGTGACGTAAGCTAGGAGGTCCCCTGTGGATCGTTGGTGCCGGAAACCATACTGCCTGTCGCTAATCAAGCTGTGACGTTCGAGGTAGACCAGAAGCTCGCGATTTATGCACCTGATTAAAACAGAAAGCAAAGCTATAGGCTTGTAGCTGTAAGGGTCGGTCCTAGATACCTTTTTTGGGATAGGTTGGACATGAGCAAATCTCCAGTTTTCTGGGAAGGTGCCGGATTCACAAGATATCTGGAAGAGACGCGAAAGAACTGGAGCAAGCTCAGCTGCACATCTCTTCAGTACAATGGCAGGAATCAAGTCCGGATCAGAAGCTTTGTTGATGTCGAGGGACAAGAGCACTCGTCTTACGGTCTTATGCCTGAATGTTACTTCCCGCATAGTGTAGGGAACCCTTTGAATTGACGGCACTTGGGCGTTGGGGGGGACGTCCATGGTGGAGTTGACAGCAAAGACCTTGGCTAGCACTTCCGCTTTGCCCCTTAAGTTGAATACAATAGTTCCATCCTGACACGGAAGTGGTGGAAGACTACTGTGTGAGAAGTTCTTTTCAATCTGCTTGGCCAGCGTCCAGAAAGACCGACTGCCATTGCGCTGCGATATTACCCTGTGCCTAACTTTTATATCGTGCTGGTTTTTGGCATTGCGAACCGCTTCTTTATATTTGTTTCTGGACTCAACGTCGACTTGGTTCTGTAGGCCTTGACCTTCTACTGGCGAGCAGCGTCACACGATTTGTTGAACCAGCCGTTGGACCCTGGTTTAGGAACTTTCACTGTGTGAGGGATGTATTCCTCCATTCCGACGTGTATAATTTCGGTTATCGAAGAACAGACAGCCGACGCATCCGCGTCAGTGAAACAGACATCTTTGCAAGGAAAACTAGAGAAGAAGTCTCTGAGCCCCTCCCAGTCGGTATGTCCGTAATGCCAAGTTCTGCGGCCTGTACGAGTTTCTGCTGCCACAACGGGTTCTGACCGAAACCCAACCTCCACAACACCGTGGTCCCAAGGGAGACAGGACAGCAGTGCTGTAAGAATGCGTGGTCAGAGAGAGATCCAGCAGGCTACTGGCGTGTGACGAGACGCGGGAGAAAAAAGTAGGGCTCGTCACCAGCTGGGTCAGCCCTGAGTAAGAGCGAACGCTTCGACTGCACGACCTGCTGCATCGGTTTTGTTTAAGCCCAACCAAAGCTCCTTATGGGCATTGAAATCTACCGAGAAGAACTACCTCTGAAGCGGGGTGATTGATTTTCAGGAAGTCGATCTGGACGGCGAGGTATTCGAGTACGTCATCCCAGTTATGGTCCGAGGGAGAGCGATAAAGGTAGCAAATAAATTTGGGTGATGTTTTGGAATTGAGGCGAAGCCACAGAATATCCTTCCGGTCTGATTCCAAAGGAACATCTCTGGAGCAGGAAAGACTGCTGCTGACAAAAGCCACAACTCCCCCGCTCTTTCTCAGATTGGAGTGTACCTCGTAGTTTGGGAAGTTAAGATTTTTGTCTCCGCCAAGAAAAGCACGGTGGGACGATTGGATTGCAGGTAGCGATGAACAGCATCAATGTTGCTGTTAATCCCGCAGATGTTCGAAAAACAAATTTTATCATCGATGTTGTTCCTCGGGCTCACCCTCCACCCGGATATTCCGAGAGTGGAGTGAGTTTACGTCCGGAGTTCTTAGTGCTCGGGGGATCCATCATCATTAATTTCTTTGTTTCGGTCGACTGGTCCTTGTCTACCACCTTCTTTTTACGTGTTATTGATGTTGAATAGACCTAAAGTGGCCCGTTGGCGGACTTGTACCGCCACCCGGCAATCGGTACTGAAGTATTCCTTAACGCGTGTACAATCACTTGAACGGGAAGAAGTTGTATACTGGATACAACAACCTCCGGAACAAGCATCTGCCACGGCCCCGCTCAGTAGGGGTCTGAGTCTCATATTTTTAATATATTTAAACCAATATGTCTTTTTCTTTGAAATTATTTTAATCAAGTTATTTCAGCTTCATGAGTTCATACAACAGCGGTAAATGAGGAAAAACATAGCCTTCTAAAATAAGCTCTCCCTTATTTTTCGGAAATAACAGAGCTTCTTACTTGGATAACGAAGAACGAAAGGACCTTCTCGCCAGTGCCCAAACCCGGAACAAAAAAATCGTAACGATGCAGCAAAATAAAAGCATTGGAGTCTTTTTTTGTTTGCGAACTCGTGCTATGCCGTTAAACTCCAATTTAGATAGCGGCAGTGATATAGTTGTAGTCATAATTCAGTTTTATTTTTTATCTAAAATGTGCCGCATTGACTAAAAATATCGGGGGTACGTATGAACCTCCAAGGGCGGGAGATAGCAAATTTTTCCTATGGCAGCCAGAAGCTTTACGATTAAAAAAAATTACCCTCTCACATTGATTACATGAGATAATACTAACTTATTCCTGATAATCCCTGGAAGAAACTAATTCTGAAAGACATAACACACATGTTTTTATTGCTTGATTGTTGAAATATGGCACAGTGACCCCACCACACTCAAAGTATTTAATTTTTGGACAGGCTTTCGTCTTTGGTAATACTCTGCGATGATTCAGTGAAAATTGTCTGACATATATGGCTGACAACCCTTGAAATGAAATGCTCCATTATGTCAGCTGTCAGGCAGTGTTCGATACAATTGTTTATGTTTTGTAGCACTGCCGTCTGTACAATAATCTAAATATCAGAATAGTTTCTTCTGCAGAAACAACATTATGGTATGGCAGAGCACCTTTTAACCTCCGTGAAATTTTTGGTTCAACCTTTTCGGCTCAATATTGACGTATCTGTTGTACTGTGTTGAAGTAAACATAGATGTTGCTTTGACGTAATAATTCATAACAATAATAATGTAAATGGTGTTATTGTAGGTAAATAGGTATCAGATATTTGCATTATTTCTATTTATGTTTCATGATTTAATTTTGTGATCCATTGTTATGACACGTCTTGTCAGAACATTTTTGGATTATCCGACATTGACGACTATATTACTTGATTAGTCAAAATAGTAGGTGACGTAGAAGCTACGTTAGCGTTTTGTTGTTATTTTAATCATGTCCAAAAATATTAAGTCGTGCTTGCGGTTCATTGTGTTTTAATATTGTTGAAATGCCACTTTTATCGCAATTTCTTATACATGATTTTTATATGATTTGGGCATTAGTTGGTATCTGCGGCTAGACGTCATATGTATAGGGTGCCCATAAAGTTAGGACTTTTTCTTACACGGCATATATGCCTTGCAAAAATAAGCGAATTTCCCTAACAGCATATACACCAAAGTCTCAAGATAGCCGAGACATTGATTTCCGCAAAGTCAATTAAACCTGCGCCAAACCGAATCCGCTCCAGTATCTAGAACAGATCAAAAGTGACAAGTACTGAACTCAGACACCGGGAGCGTAGGTAAATAAAACATTTGTTTACCAATCGGTACTATAAAATCAAAATAGCACACACTTATAGCTATATCAAAATGCTACCGAGGCTTTCCGAGTGAATGCTGATCGCTTTGCGATACGTTATCGTTCAGAGTCGTGTAGATTTTTGAAAAGCACAGACTATAACGCTATATAGGCATGTCAGATATGATAAATTTGCATTCTACGTACCGCTATTATTAAGTTTATAGGCACAGGCGCAGATTAGCCCCTCTTAGAAAAAAGTCAACTACTGGTATAACAAAAAAAAACAATTTGTCAATAGGTCTATACCAACGCCATTTTGCATACCATTGACCCCAGTTCTCATCCATTCGGCAACATTGCGATTTAGGCACAGTTGCGATTACTAAACTTCAGCTGCGGCCAAATAGCGACGAGTTCATCTTCTGTCTTCGTTACGCTTACTTGGCCGATACCCCCTACATACAGTGACAGCTCAACATGTCTTTTCGTGAAGTATATGTCATGCAACATCCAAGAAACTAAATTATTTGGAAAAATACAAACTTTTAAGCAATGTCTATCTTAAACGAAAGTTTTAGAAATATGTATTATCATTTTACACTTCTACACATTTTCTCGAAAGAATACTAGAGGAATCGTCTTGTTGATCACCAAACACTTTGCCTGGATTCTGCGTACCATCTTTAAGCTTATTATGAACACTTCGTATAGACATAACATTGAACAGATTATCTAAAATAGCATAGTATTTACCAGCGCTACAGCAACCAGTTCATCATCTTCCGCCACTACATTGTGTACCACAGTTACTATGAGATTAATAATTCCCAAAAGGACTAAGCGTCTGAACAGTCCACCCATTTTTTTGTAACTGAAAGTACAGCAAGCTCTGCCGCGCTATTCTAATGCAAAACGATGTGTACAACTGGGAGGTATGGAATGGAAGATAAGCAGCTTTTACAACTCCGTTTGCCATTGTTTATAATATTGTATGGAACATTCCAATCCTTTGTTAGAAATTGTACTGGCAACAGGCAATTTGTCTTGTAAAATATCATCTGGCAATATTGACAGGTTAAATCCTCTCATCGACTTTTCTTTGGGGTTTTGCTTGAAGCACTTAAATCAATTTCCGCAGGCCAACAAGGACCTTTCTAAGTGTCGAACCCCTAGATCTCTACTTAACCCCAAAAGGATTATCCAAATAATTACTGTTACGCTATTTTGCATGATATTTCAACAAATGCGGAAATTCATCTATTTCTGTACCTCAGTGCCCGACTATGTTAAAAAAAAATTTGGTGTTTGAGTTTAATATGTTAAGCAGCGTATGTATGTACACACTCTTATTTGCTATTTTCAGATTTGACGTATATTTGAAAGCAGAGAAATTAGGTGCTTTTAAATCAAGTTCTCAGCAGAACAAGGTCACTGAGTCATAGTTTGGCCCGTATAATATTTCCTTAGTGTTCTGGGTTATTCATACCCCCTGCAATTTGCTTTTGTGATAAGCTGCGTTAAATATTTATTTATATACCGGGTGATTCTCTAAGGCGGCTCACTCCTATAACTTTTTTATTATTGAAGACGGAAAGACGAAATTTGGGGGTTGCGTATAGATCAATTTACATTTTTCGACATATTCACTTGCTTCGACGTACTTCTACTTTCGATTTTTAAATGAACTCAATATGCGTCTCTTGGTACCTAATGTTTGGCAAATAAATCCATTTTTATTTCAATTTTTATTTTTCGATCTTGAATGCCATGGATCCTGTGAATGGCTTTATTTTTGATCCCGGAAAAAATACGATTTTGAGGCGAAAGACCGTACAGTCGTTTTAAGGATTTTCTAGAAGTTACAAACACTGATTTCTACAGTTTACTTTTTTTTTCAAATAACCCTCTGTGTTTTTTGCATAAAAATAACAATTTTCTTTCGGATTGGTTTGTGATTCATGTAGTAAACTAGTGTATTTCGCCATGAAATGCCCTTTGGACTAACCCTGTATATTGCTCAGTAAACTGGTTGTGATGGCCGGAAGACAGGTGTTTTGAGATAAACAATTAGAAATTCTCAAAAGCTACTTGACCAATCGATTCCAATTTTGTTGTGGCTATTTAGAAGTATGAATCCTACGGATCTGAAGCATTTCAAGTACCTGCCTGAAATTATCGTCGCATTAGCAACAAGAGCCATAACCTGCATTTTGCCTCGGTTTTCCATTACTTTTTTACCATTAGTCGGATCTTTTTACGTCTGGTCTCATACCGCATTTCTCATAAATACCTAAAAATCTCATTTGAAGAGTTTTTTGATTCCTGACAACGCTTCCGATTGAATCCCAAAAAACACGTTTTCTCATTCTTTGTTGTCGAATAAAAAGTTTTCGCACAAAAATTTTTGGTACCCGTTTTATGCGTTCGTGTCTTAAATACTCCCTTGAACAACTTGCATCAATAAAACCCGACTTTACAGTTATTTCGGAGAAATTTTGGTAGATTTGTAGAATAGACATTGTATAAATAATCTGAGTGGTATATCGGATTTTATAAGTACGGATATGAATACAGACAATGTCAATATAAAAAGATTGTAAAAACTTTATTTGTATCCATCTATTATCACACTGTTATAATTAACATCAAATAAGACACGCTAGATAACAATATAGGTCATAAGATGTCCAAACAATGCATCTGACCTTCTCCTGGATTTGAGTTCCTTATGGAATTAACTTCAGAAAAATGTTTGATGTAAAACTTCTATAAAAAACTGATTTTGGGCACACGTTCATCATTTTGTTGACAAATGACATAACGTAATCTCTTGAATTGCTTGTGGGAAAATTCGTCTGCTCTCAAGGTGAAAATACATTCTCAGTAGAGCTAAAAGTATGATGAAATTTAATTAGCTACATTGTTTTGTTTTATTGGTCCTCAAACCGACACGAAAGTATGTAACTTTTATATGGTTTAGCGCGTGATGATGAAATTCACTAGTATATTCACTTAAGTGTAAACGCCCATATGCGGGACCCCAGCTCTTCTCTCTCTCTCTCTCTCTCTATCTCTCTCTCTCTCTTTCTACCTCTCTCTCTCTCTATCGCTGTCTCACTCTCTCTCCCTGTGAAATAGGAGGCCAGATTTTACTACAATTTACGGGATTCTACAGGGGGTCTTAAACTTCTCATTGGGGTATTTAGTCGAGTAATAATAGTAATGGGCAAAGCTTATAATATAGACCATCTTTGGCATTTTTACTAGCTGTTTCAGTCACAGACAACGAAGATTACATGACCAATTGTTTTTCATACAACCCGGATACAGGGTACATTTTATTTATTTATTTATTTATTTATTTATTTATTTCCAACAGGTGAAACCCAATTACAGGAAACGCTGAAAAAAATAACAATTAAAGAGACATGGTTCTTGGACTTAAATCTATAGTATCACACATTCCAAATGAGATTGGATGATCTATAGCAGTTAATAATCGATGCACAACTGTCACTGTAAATATCACACGATTCAGTAACATTGTTCATGACGCAGCACATGAGATTAGTTGTCATAACATTTGTACGGCCAGCTTGACAATAGAATGCCGTTTGTTGTCGACTGACTAGCCTTGGAACGCGGAAACATATTTTTTCAAGTAAATTTTGACAGTCAATTTTATTGTGAATGAGGCCATACAAAAACGACAAAGCAATTATGTTTCGTCTTGTTGACAGTGAATCCAAATTGAAAAACTCTAATAGGGCACTATGGTCACAACCTCTTTCTGGATAAGAACCTGTGCTTTTAAGGTGAAAATACTTTAAAGCTTTACGTTGAATGGCCTCAAGGATCACGACAGAATTTTGGTATATAGACCAGATCAGAGTCGCATACTCCAACTTGCTCCTGACAAAAGTAAGAAATAAAGTCATTAATGTATCAACATTGGAGAAACCCTTCCAGTTTCTGATAGAGAAACCAAGTAGTCGAGTGGCAGCCGACGAGATATTGAGTATATGCTCAGTAAACGTTAGCTTGGTATCAAAAATGACTCCAAGGTCTCTATAAGAGGTGAACTGTCTATAACCTGACCATTGATGTTATAATTGTCATAAATTAAATAGTTAACTTTTCTTGTATAAGTCATAACTTTACATTTCGAAACATTCAGGCTGAGACAGTTTTGTGAACACCATGACGAAATTAGAGCTAAGAAAAACAAATGGAAACACTTCAGTTCAAAAGACAAGTCATTAATAAATATCAAAAACAATAGTGGACCTAGATTTGACCCTTGAGGTACCCCAGATGTGGCCCGATAGTAACTCGACCTATGACCACCATATTCGACAAATAACCTTCTATCCCTCAAATATGACTTCATGAGCGACAGCATTGCATCAGACATACCCACTGTTTTAAGCTTATCCAGAAGTGCATAATGATCAACTTGATCGAACGCCTTCTGAATATCTGTGTAGATGACATCAACTTGTCCCTGACCGTCCAGTACTTCAGAAATATACTGAGTAATTAGAGCCAAGTTGGTGACCGTAGATCTGCCTCTCATAAACCCATGCTAATTAATAGAGACTGCACCCCTGACCGAGCAGTAAACCGTTTCATAAGCGATGATCTCAAACAACTTGCTGAAATTGCACAGGATTGCTATTTGGCGATAGTTGGAAATATCAGAGATATCTCCGCTTTTGTGAATAGGACATATTTTAGAGGTCTTCCAGATATTTGGATATGTCTGATTTTAGAATTAGGTTGAATATGGAAGCCAGCGGTTTCGCTAGTATATGAGAATGCAATCTTTAACGAAAAAACTTGGAATACCATCACATCCAGACGTCATTTTGTTCTTTAATCTTTTGGAAGCCCTAATTACGCTTTCTTCACTTATATTTTTAAAGAAATGATATCGGTAGAATTATTTGTTGGAGGAGATGACCATAGTAGACCAGACGGGATAAAAACTGTTGAAAAGAAGGTAGCAAAACTGTCCACTATATCCTGAGGCGTATCGCAGACATTGCCGTTAAGCTTCATCCTTGGGGGGATTCTAGATTGCTGTTTTTTGATATGGGCAGATGATCAGAATTTGCTAGGATCATTGACAATGGCATCCTCAACCGATTGGACGTAAGCGGAGTAGGCAACACTGATCTGGTTCTTAATGAGCTTCCTAAAATTACTGAACTGATCATAAGAAAACTTAGTACCGTCACGTTTCCAGTTCCTTCTTACTATGTCCTTCTTCTTGATATTAAGTATATTTTCACGTGTGAACCATGATAACAACATCCACCAACGAGTGGCGGTGTTCAATAAAAATCAAAGCTCCTAACATTTGGACATCTGTCACAAAGGTGAGTTTTCATAGCGACAACCCTTACCTTTTGCACTATGTGTAACACACTGTATTTTTTCTTTTCTAGGTGCAGGCAGAAACGTAATATCTCGGCACTGGAAATTGTGTGGGTTTTTGTTGCCGGCTTCCAGTATTTCGCAAGGGTCTTGTGAGCTAGAGTTAAGGCGAACAGCTTCTGTATTTTATAGTAAATTTGGCGTCTGTCAGGCAGGAAGCTTTTATTTGTTGCAGGACTTTCAATTTTCCATGTTGTCCATCAATTACTTTCCTCCAAGCTGAAAATTAAGTGCGCATGCCCCGGTATACGCTGATGTAGATAGAAATGGAAGGTTCGTATTTCCCGTGTACTACGTTTATTTAGACGAGTCTATCTGGATCAACGAATTCAGACTAAATAGAAGAGGCTGGTCTACCCCAAAATCGACTGAAGGTGCATACTAAAAATACGAGTGATACTAAATCAGAACAACAGAACACT